TGCCTGTGCGAAAGAAACAAGCATCCGCTCAGGTCATTCCGAAAGCGGTACTCGCGCCCCGATCGCAGCAGGAGTTGGTAACTTTCAACGTTCGAACGCTTATGCAAGTTGGGGCTCGGGCAACACTCGTTTGCACACTGGAAACGCTTGCCATGGACGTTTTCTGCCTTACTCAGACACGTCTACGAGATTCGAGCACCGTACGGCAACTCGTTTCACAGTCTCCGGATTCTGCAAGCTCGTTCATACCGCCTCTCCGGAGATCCGATGGCAGAGGTAGCTGGTCAGGCCGGTGTGTTGACAGCACTGAGTGCACGTGCAGAAGCAGTTTTAATCAACTGGATTCTAATCAATAGTCGACTCTGCGCCATCCGTCTAAAAGGATCGATAAATGCATCTCGTATTGGGACCAAAAAGCTCTGTTCGTCTTCGTAGCTTATGCATCGACGGACCGCAGTCCCGACACAAAAACGACTAGTTCTACCATCAGCTCACCAACCTCCTCCATAGTGGACGACTTGAACGAACAAGTAGGCAGGTTAGACGCTGACGAAACCTCACTTGGTGGCCAGTATAGCTTCGGTTTTAGGAGAGCTGACAACGGCAACCGTCTCCTGCAAATCTGCCCTGAACATGGTCTTTTTCTTTTGAGCACTAATTTTCGCCGACTGTGGCGTCAACGTGTTACCGGCGATCTCCATCGTCTGATCAGCTCTGGACTCAAATAGATCATATCGCCATCAGCTGTCGATAGAAAAATTGTATAACGGACTGCAAATCACTCTGGAGCACATATCACAGTTCTGATCATGCACTCGGGTGCGCGAACTTCTCTCTGCGCTTTGGTGGAAAACAGCAACGTCACCCAAGAAGATTCGATTTAATGAACTTGACCGACCCAAATGTGTTTACCGCTTACCAAAACACGTTAGCTGCTGATTCAGACAGTCTGTCATCCTCGAACTTTGATAACCGGTGGACTCATCCGTAACGCCATGCATAAGTCCGCCACCACAGCAGGTGGCTTCACCAAATGCGCAGCCAATCACTGGGTTCCGGCACGTTCTCTATAACTACTTGACACTCGTCGAAACACCCCCCCAGGTAATGAGTACAACACAGTTCGCAGGACTCTCAGTGCTGAACTGAAACGGTTCCTAAAAGAGGATCAAGAGACCTGGTGGGCACAACGCGCTTCCGAGATGGAACTAGCCTCTTCTTCCGTGAATGCTCACAAACTTTTTTGACTAATCCGAGCCACCGGTAACAAGAAACCATACATCAGTGAAACCATATGCGAAATTAATGGCGAATGTATTCACAATCTACAACTTCGGCTTGGGCACTGGGTGGAGCACTTTCATCAACAATTCAGTTGGCCATCGACATCACCTC